CACTTATGAAATGTCAGATTTCTACGAAATGAAAAATCTGAGTATAGTAATAAAATTAAACTAATAAGTTCTATAAGTTTTACTTCAAGTTACTTAAGCTGATATTCAGATTTCTTTTTATTTTAAAATATGTTTCTCACTCTTGCACTTCATCACGATTATTTTGTTATTGTTTTCTTTAAGTTTCCTGGAAGAGATAGCTTAATAGCGACAAGGCCGCATATTGCATAATATTTTTTAAAGCTTATTATCAATTAAAAAATCTTAAATAAATAAACAATAATAAATTGATACTCGTTTACATTACTTATGTTTAAAACCATTTAAGTTCTAAAAACAATATGAATTCAGATATTAGCGTGACAGAGAAAGACAAATTCAGTTTAAATTAAATTTCAAGAGTTTGCATTCAATTTTGGGGCTTACAAATTTCGAAGCCTCACTTCGAAAACCCTAATTATAATCAAAATAAAGCCCATAGTAAACTGGAGGAAGCGAATATTAAATTAACTAGAGACTTCACGAACTGAATATTCTACGATAATGTTTTGATTAATGATGATAAGCGTAATGTGAAGATAAAGAACAGAAGGGGATTAATTAAAGATTTAAGTTGGGAGGAAGATAGTACCGGTGACCCCAGAGCTGGTAGTTTGCCTCGCTCAACGAATAAGTATCGCAGTACAGCGAGGAAATGCTGCCAGCGTTAAAAGTACACTGCCACATAGACCAAATTTTTTAAATTTGTTTTATTTTCTATTTATTTTGGCAATATAATACATGGCCCAAAAGAGGTTGGAAAACACTGATCTAAGTCAAGGGTAAGGGGTTAAGAATAGCACGTTCAATTAGGCTTATGGGCTAAAGGCATTATAAAAAGTTGGCAAAATTAAGCTGTGATGCTTTGATTGATTTGTATATTATGTGAAAAGCATTTACAGGCAAACATGACATACTCGAACAGATAACACAAATATTAAACAAAACAATTAAAATTACAAAAACTAAACGAATCGATTTTCATGTGTGAGGGGAACAACTATGGATATCCAGACCCAGCTCAGCGCAGAATTCTCAATCTGGACATCGGTGAGCTTTGGTATAATAGCTAATAATATGTACACTTATGAACGTCAATAAAGAAATACATATTAAATACTAAATGCTTCTAATTATACATTTACTTAATAAGTTATATATATATATATATTATATACATGTACTTAATAAAATAAAAGTTCGGAGCAATCAATCTGACTCTTAAATAGCTTAAATACAAACGATACATCAATTAATTATCTACGAATCTCCAATGACAAACAACTTAAAGTGTCATAGGAGAATCGTAGAAACATCTTTTGTTGACTCATTAACAGAATACCATACAACCTCAGGCAAGGATTTCGAATAGCTTAATTTTCAGTAGAGGAACATTATATGAGATATTAAAGGAATATCAAACATTATTAGCGAGCGCTCGAATGAAATCTAAACATCATTAAATATGACATAGCGTTCAATCCCGGCTTCAATTTGATATTTATTTATTAAAACTTCGTTACATAAATTATTAGGGATGAAAAGGAAGGCCTTATCGCTAACAAGCGATCTCTTCCAGGCAACCCTAGTAAGGAAAAACTAAAAAAAGAAATACTAATAGTTAAGAGATAATAATGGAATAACTAATATTAAATAAAATAAAAAAGTGAACTAACATAATAATAGCTAATCTCACGTATCATGAATTTGTATTATTTATTTGATTATATGTTATAGTTAATATGATATGATATGTTTTTTGTAGATATATTGATGTCTTCTTTAAAACTGTAGTACACCACTTAGCTCTATTATTAATAGTTTCCACAGCGTATGCTATTTAGGGATTTTATTAGTATGACATTATGTAAAGTTTTCATATATATTATTAAATTCTTCAATCGTTAATTAACATAAAACCATAGTGAGTAGCAAAAACCTTCGTTTTTGGAGTTTATCACTTCATACAACATGACAACGATGACACAAAGACTTCATCATATTAACGATTTTAAATGTATAATTAGATTAATACCTTTATAATCAGTATCAAGGTCATATTAAAGTCTAGGAATAATTGGATTATCATGATAATATGATTAAGACAAGTCAAACGCTTTATCCACACAGCTATTATACAAAGTCAATATGGTGAATGTTCAGAAGAATTGTTTGGGTTCAAACTCAAAATGTTTTATTCATATAGGTAAATAAGTACACTTACGAACGTCAGAAAAATTAAATTAAACTGGTAGTAAATGCAAATTTACTACAACATCACCTTGAAGTCTTCCACAGTCCGTTTCAAGGCACTTTCTTTTGCGAACTAGTGAAATGTGGAATCGACTGCCGGTGGAGGTCTTCCCTGAGAGATACGACCTCCAACTATTCAAAGTTAGAGTGTACTCCTCCCTCAAAGGCCGGTAACGCACCTACTAAAATTGGGTCTCCATGGGCTGCGATGTCTGCTCTTTTTGGGCCTCCCATAGGCTCGTTTGCCCCCCTATTATATATATAAAAAAAGAACCTTGATCTAGCGATTGAAAGAACAAAGGAAAAGTTATTAGAATATTACCAGAAATCATACGTTCAATTCCTAATATTCAAATATAAAAAATACAAATTGGAAAGGTATATATCTAAAGTAAAAAAATAGTGACGCCACTAACTTTTTAGGTCTGGGCCTCAGATTTCTGTATCTGTTTCATGATCATTTGGCAAGTAGGTAATCCTCCTGTGCCTGACACGCCGTCCGTCGACTTTTTGGGTTGGCAAGCCGGTTTCCTCAACACGATTTCCTTCATCGTTCGAGCGATTGTTAAATGCGCACATAGAAAGAAAGTCAATTAGTGTACAGCCGGGGATCGAACCTACGACCTCAGGCATGAGAGTCGCACGCTGAAGCCACTAGGCCAACACTGCTCTAAAGTATTAAATAAAGATGAGACTTAAAGCGAGGCTCTGGCTACGCAAAATCATAGATAGAAAAGCTAAAAGCTAAAAAAATACCAATATGTTGTCTCTGTAATGTGACGGCGTGCACAAACATAATGACTTATAATTAATTAATAAAATTATTTTAAACACACAAATATACATTATTTACAATATTCTTAACCTAACTACATAATAATTAAAAATTGATAAATGGAAAATTAAAACAAATTTGAAAAGTTTGGTTCTGGGGGCAGTACCTTTAACCAGTAATATTGCGATACTTATTCGTTGAGCGAGGAAAGCACCAGCTCTGGGGTCTCCGGTACTAACCAGGCGCCAACTTAAATCTTTAATTAGCGCCTGTGCACATGGGCAATCCGGAAAAATATCTGGACTTTTCGGACAGATTGAATATTCTAGCTATTCTGTTTAAAATTTATCTGTTTTTATCCAACGTCACTAGGAAAAGAAATATCGAAAAGAAACAATAACATAATTGCAGGCATTTTTGTGAAAGTTTCTTCGTCGATTCAATTCGACTTAGGTCCTTCAAGAAAAGAGCGTACCAATTCTTAAAAGGCAACGCACTTGCGAGCCTCCTCTTGCAATGTGAGTATGTCTATCACTTAATAGCAAGTGAAGCTCCCGTTTGCACCCTGATTTAAAAAAAATCTTTCATCGACTTTTTTAGATACGAAGTTTTGGAACGAAGTTTCTTATCGCGCGTTGTGAAAGGGGGCTAGACGGAAAAAATTCTTACGAAAAGTTGTCACGACACTTTTTTGCTATTTGCTTTTGTAATACACCGGTTCTCGTCCGATCACCGAAGTTAAGCAACGTCGGGCGAGGTCAGTACTTGGATGGGTGACCGCCTGGGAACACCTCGTGATGTTGGCTTTTTTTTTCGTCGTAAGATTGGTGTCGAGATAATCTATCATACTGTTATGATACCAATTAACATATAAATTAATCGAAAGGAATTTCGTTCCATCCGGGTGTCCCTTGACACCTCTAAAGTTTTTTGACATAAGAAAGCCATACGACAGAGAACCAAAAATAAATTTTGTAGTCAAGTCGTTAAGTCCGTGCTAAGTGTCACTCTGGTACGTCAATAAAGACGTATTGAGTTATATTTAAGTTAAGGTAACTAACAATTTTATTCTCATTTTCATTTTCCCGTTACAATAGAAATAGTTTCAATTATATACAGAACAAGGTAGCGTATTGCGGAAATGCTTTGAAGGTATTGCGGAAATAATAGCGTATTGTATTAAGTACTGCGGAAAAGCTTCGAAAGCTTTATTGATTTTTGTAAACTGACCGCTTAAAAAATCTTTAAGATTGTACTTGTACCATACATACAAAGGTTTTGACAACAATTATAAATAAATGCTCCTTTAATTATGACATCATGATAATGAATATGACATTTGCATGCCTATTTTTAAATGGCTGATTGTTCGGTTGGTGTAGGTGGCAGAAAGTGGAAATAAATTGAAATGAATAGGCAAGGCAAGTAATGAAACGTCATCGATTCAAGTTATTTAATGCCCAGCTGTTTGATAAAAATGGCTGAATATAATTCAAATTATATAGCCTCACCCTGCCCCAGATGTCAAAGTGTACACAATACCGCTTAAATAATCTCTATATATATAAAATCCTCGTGACACAATGTTCGTTCCCATGCTCCTCCGAAACGGCTCGACTGATTCTTATGAAATTTTTTATGCATATTCAGAAAGTCTGAGAATCGGCTATTATCTATCTTTCAAACCCCTAAGTAATGAGGGGTGTCCACTCCAAAAAAAATTGTTTTTTTCGACAAAATTTTTTGTTTTTATTTTTTTATGATACAGCATACAAAATACATACATATAATTTACACCCCTCTACGATCAGCCCCTATTTTTTATTATTGAAAGTTATTTTTATTGAACTAAAAAAATGTTTCCTAGAAATAATATACATGGCAATACAAACGTTTGCCGGGTCAGCTATTTTATTTATATATTTATTTTCAGCCATGAAAGCAGCGATACTAATACAGCAATGGTACCGAAGATATTTGGCTCGTATGGAAGTGAGAAGACGATATACATGGACGATATTCCAGAGTATCGAATATGCGGGTGAACAGGATCAAGTGAAGGTATAGTTTAAATTAATATATATTTATAATACTTGCAGAAATGTATATCTAAAAGTTGGGAGATAATCAATAAATACGAACATACTGTATTTACAATATTCTTATACAGGATGGCCCAAAAAAAGTCGTGGATCAAACGCAAATAGGGGATTGATGAGGGCATCAGCTGCAAAACATTGTTCTACGGGAGGTCTCTGAGCTCAACCCCTGCAGAGTTATAATTTATTTTGCGTTTTTATAAGAAAATTGAATTTTTTACTAATTCTTATTAAAAATCTACATTCTGTATCTTTTTCATAATATCCACTAGATTGGTACTAATGAGTTCTTGCGTTAGACATACTATTTATAGTTGTTTATTGAGTGTATTGAAGATAATATTAAGTTATACGATATAAAAATTTCTCAAATCATAACGTCGGACCCCATTGTGAAAAAATTAATACTCTACTGAAAAGTGAACCTGTATTAAAAGATTTGGCGCCTTTAATAGGGATTCTGAAAAGGTATTACACATGGCCATGAGTTAGTTGCTTTAATATCTTTCAATTAAGCATTACAAACAAAACATACAATACAGGGTCACTTTTCGGCAGAGTATATTTTTTACACAGTGAGGTCCGAAGTAAACAAAAAGTTTTGATTTGAAAAAATGTTATATCGTATAACTTAATATTATCTTCAATAAACTCAATAAACAACTGTACAAGCCGTCGGAAATATCTGCGAACCTCGCTGGAATGCGCTTCCCCTGGCGCCCCCGCACCCCGCCCCGTTTTCGCCTATCCAGTACCGTTGCCAACGCAATCGCCGACGCCGCACGTGTATTATTCTTGCTTTCGTAATCGCATTTTAGTGTTTATTGTTTCTCTGTTTGGTGAAATATTACATAAACTACCTATTTAGTGCTGTATGTAAGATGGGTAGGTACGAGTATCAATAAAAATAAGTACACAAATAAAATATTTTTTATTTTTACATCTTCAATTTTTTTGCTATCTCTCCAGTTTGTATGACGTCATTAAGCCAGGTTCGCAGATATTTCCGACAACTGTAAATAGTATGTCTAACGTAAGGACTCATTAGTATCAATCTAGTGGATATTATGAAAAAGATACAGAATGTAGATTTTTTCGTATTTTAATGGGAATAAGTAAAAGTAATCAATTTTCTTATAAAACACAAAATAAATTATAACTCTACAGGGGTTGAGCTTAGGGACTTCCCGTAGAACAATTTTTTGCAGCTGATGACCTCATCTGTCCCCTAGTTGCGTTTGATGCACGACTTTTTGACCAACCTGTATATAAACTTCTCGTGTCACAATGTTAGTTACCATACTCCTCCAAAACGGCTCAACCGATTTTTATCAAATTTTATATGCATATTTAGTAGGTCTGAGAATCGGCTACTATCTATTTTTCATACCCCTAAGTGATAAGGGTTGTCCACTCCTAACATTTTGTTTTTATTTTTTGGACGAAATTTTAATTTAATTTTTCTATAATGTGCCATCAAAAAATACATAGAACCCTAAATTTTCATCACTCTACGATTAACCCCTATTTTTTATTACAGTAGATAGTTATTTTTATTCAACTAAAAAATTTTTCCTATAAATAATATAGGTACATGGCAAAACAACGTTTGCAGGGTCAGCTAGTAATAATAATAAAAATTGATAAATGGAAAATTAAAACAAATTGAAAATGTTGTTCCCCGGGACAGGGTCTCTTTATTGCTGCCATTACCTCCCTGTATTGCGATACCCATTCTTAATTATCAATTAATTCATTAAAAAGATGTCTGCCAACAATGGTTACAGCACCCTTACTCTGTAACTTCCAGTAGTGTCAGCGTTCGAACGTTTTTGTATGGAAGTTCGATGTATTTCTAGTGCCACATATTATCTGCTCACAAATCACTACGGTGACGTCATACCCTGAAACGCGCTAACGAAGTTATTCCAGCTTAGGATATTTATATACAACTTCTCTACTTTAGAGCCACGGCCTTTAAGTTGGAGGAATAGTACACCATCCTCCAGACAGTTCTATCAAAATATCCGAAGCACTGCGCTGGTTCGTGCGGTACAAAATTGAAAATACTCATTTTTGAGATCCAGATGTCGCTGGAAGTTACAGAGTAACCGCTCAGTTCCTTACAATTTCATTTCATCAAAGATGTGCAGCGTTTTTGTCGAAGAAGAGAAATTAAATTAAAATTTCGTAAAGAGAATTTACGAAATATTAGTATTTTATATTTTATGCAAAATAATTTATTGAAATCTCAAATGACGAATTGTAAATTAAAATGACACGTGTTTTTATTATCGAAGAATTATTATTATTTTCATATTACGTACATGGTTACCAATGGTAGTAAGTAAATGTAATTTGTTTTGAATTATAATTGTTGACTTGGCTGTGTTCTAACCAATTGAAAATAAACGTTAGTTGAGCACAAAAACTATACAGTCTCTTTAATACCATCCATGCATTAATCTCTTTGTAATATAGTTTGGTTTCTATAACTCGAATATCGCGTGCAACTGTACCGTACAAAACGACGGAGATAAGACCACAAAAATTTAACCATAAAATATCGTACAATGCAAGGTAATAAATGTAGCGTTATAAACCTGGTTTAATTTAATAGTTTTATTTCCATATACTTCATTGCATTAAAAGAATTGAAATGGAAATAGACAGGACACTTTATAAGAAAAGACAAAGATAAATGGACGATATGGCAAAAGAAAATATAAATAGAGCAGCTGGCCCTATGTGGCTACTTAAAACTAGACACCGAGAAGAGTGGAAGCACTTAGAGGAGGTCTATGTCCAAGGACAAGCTGTAAAAGAGAAATTTACCGGCTTGCCGATGAATTATTAGTGATTATTGTACTTCTAGAGCATAGAGCAGTGTTGGCCTAGTGGCTTCAGCGTGCGACTCTCATACGTAGTAGGTTCGATCCCTGGCTGTGCACCAATGGACTTTCTTTCTATGTTCGCATTTAACAATTGCTCGAACGGTGAAGGAAAACATCGTGAGGAAATCGACATGTCTCAGACCCAAAAAGTCGTCGGCGTGTGTCAGGCACTGGAGGGTGATCACCTACTTGCCTATTAGATTTAAATAAATGATCATGAAACAGATTCAGAAATCTGAGGCCAAGACCTAAACAGGTTGTAGCGCCACTGATTTATTTTTGTATTATGGTACTTCACATTTTTATGTACTAGGATAAGTATTTTACAGCAATAAAGGTTATTATTGTTATACATAAAAATAAAAATGAATAACATAAAAATTATAAGGCAACCCTAGTAAGGAAAAAATACTAAAAAAAATCAAGAAAACAATATTACAAGTAACACTGAAAAATTATAGAATTACCAAGCATAATCTAAAATAATACAAAAAAAGTTTTAAGTTTATTTTATAAAAATGGATTTTAAAAAGTTTCTGACAATCTTCTGCTTCTATCTATCCTTCATCCCCCTAAATGTTAAGGGTGGTCCCACCCCTTAAATTTTTGTTTTTATGATACAACATACAAAATACATACAACCCTTAATTGTCACCCTCTACGATCAACCCTATTTTTTATTATAGTCGATACATAGTTAATTTTATTGAACTAAACAAATTGTTCCTAGAAATTATATATATGGTAAAACGACGTTTGCTGGGTCAGCTAGTAGTATGCGTCATCATTTACCCTATTAGAATTAACCACGACATTAATTAATTCGACATACGGCTTCGTAGATATAGTTAAGACACATCATTTATTATGAATATAGACTGAAACGTGAGAAAAGTTTATCTCTGCGGATAAATTTAAGTACCTTTTTATGACATGCACGAGAATATTCGTTAGTAAAACCCAAGATTTATTTAATAAGAAAATTTTCAACATTTTAACATAATATAAAAGCCTTTAATGCTATGTAGCTTACATGAATATAAGGTAAATATGCCTAAAGTAATATAATCTCTATATATATAAAATTCTCGTGTCACAATGTTCGTTCCCATACTCCTCCGAAACGGCTCAACCAATTCTTGTGAAATTGTTTATGCATATTTAGTAAGTCTGAGATTCGGCTACTATATAGTAAAGTAAAAAGTAAAAGTAAAAAAGTAATTTACTCATATAGGTAACATAATGTAAACTTATGACTCGGCAGTAAAGAAATACATATTAATGCTTCTAATTTTACATTTACTGCCAGTTCTCAAATCAAGGGCGTAGAACGGAAGAGAAGAACTGGCAATAAACTATCCGCCACTTTTTTAACGCCCTTTTTTTTAAACAACGTATGTAAGGTTCTGCAACCATTACACCATGTTCCACATGACATATTAAGTAATTAATAATAATAACATACTTAAATTAAAAAAAAACAAAGACCTGCCTCTATCAGCAGGAGGCATGGTGAAATAGGAGCACGCACTTACATTTTCGTGGGAACAACACGCAAACACATAGTCGAAATAATTAACATCACCGCATACACGAATTCAAGTACGACCAGTCACCACAAGTAGCACCCATTCACGAGTATGGCGCATGGCCAGCTATCGGCCCCGTCGCCATATTTTAGGGAGAGAGACAACCCGACGCATGGACGCCGCCACACATATATATTCCAAACCCCTAAGTAATAAGTGGTGTCCACCCCAAACAATTTTTTTTATATTTTTTTATGATACAGCATACAACCCTTAATTGCCACCCCCCTACGATCTACCCCTATTTTTTAATTATTATAGATAGTTATTTTATTGAACTAAACAAATGTTTCCTAGAAATAATATATACGTACATGGCATAACGACGTTTGCCGGGTCAGCTAGTATTAATATAACAATTGCTTGTCCTTTGACAAAGACCTCCTCTAAATATTTCTTAGCTTGGCGTTCTCTAGCGGCTCAAATCCGCATTGGACCCGTCCTCTCATCTTCCTATCTGCCTGACTCTCTTTCGTTTCCCACTT